GATGAATAAACAAAAATAATAAACACATAATCTAATCGCGATAATGAACCTACCAAACAAAAACGTGTAGGTAATACAAATACGTGACACATAATTAAATTAAATAACACCAATTAAAATGGCAAAGGAAAACGCCGAGGCGTTTGACAAAGTGAACCGTGGCTAGAACCCAAGATAATGACATTGTCGCGTCGACATCTCAAAGTGTAACTCAATTAAGCTTTCCTTTACACTGCAGAGACCCGAGAGCAAAATAATGCAAAGCTTAAAGCTATAAAGGCCAGAATATACCGGGGTTGCGCAGGGAGGCGCACTCGGTCCGCCCTCATTACTTCAACATCTTTTTGTCAGTTTCTTTTCGTGTTAAATTAAATCAATGCTACATTGTTCGAGAACTCGTAGGTTATGGTAATCGAGTAATGGAAGTTTCAAGTTTGATTGCGGAGATTTTTGTTTGCGAGTTTCAAATGAGCTTTGTTCGAGTCTGATTTATGCGTGAGATTGATTTGTTTTGTTTATAGAAAAAAGTTTGCTCGAATTTGTAATCTTAATATAGTAAGCGAGCGTATTTTTATTCTGTTGACGTTCTTATAACGTTATGGTTTAAATTATACCTTTTAAAACGTACAATACGTAAACGAAACGAAAGATGGCTTCGGCCGTAGTCTCTAACATTAATCGAAACATTACTAATGTTCTTTATGAATATATCAAGCATTTATCTAAGGAGGGTGGGAATTTACCGAACTCTATGTTATTTTAATTTACTTTTAAAATACATCTGAGCGGATGCAACCGCATAGATTCTTCACGGTAGGGCGCTCATTTGAATAAGTGTGAACTGCTTTAGGGCAACGCTTTGTAGTTTTTGCTTAATTATGTGTTTCTAATGCCCTTCATTATAAAGAAGGCGGGTCTTATTAGATTCGGCTTAAGGGCTTGTGGTTTATTTAATTGACGAATGTATTTTAATGGTCTTCAACAATGTCTATTGTTAATATATGCGAATTTCGTCTCAACTAAATGGAAGCTTTTTTGATAAAATAACAGATATAATATGTTGTGGTTTAGGAACGAATATCTAATCGTTACATAATTTCTATCTTTTAGTTTTATTTATCTACTAGCTGTTCCACATTAATTCACGTTGGAAGTATTACATGATTATTTTTTTAGTTTATTCAAGTTGATTTTTGTGACTATAGACTAGATCTACAGACTATGGACTATTTATTGTTATTTATTTATTAAGGAAACTAAAGAGATACGTATATCTCTATATAGTATAAATAAAATAAAAGTAAAACATAAAATAAACACATTGGACATATCTACAAAAAGTTTCACTGATAAAGAATACCTATACCTAATACAAAGCAAAACAAGACAAAACATGCCAGCACAATATTTATAAATTAGGAGAACGACAAACAAACTAGCAGCTATAAAAAACAAAGAAGATACAAGGCTTAAGACATTAATAGTTTTAACTTATTCTTAAATGCGAAAAAGGGTCAATGTTAGTGGCAGAATCCAAGGTAGAACACAACCTGTGAAGAGGCACACGGAACCCAATGTTGGTTCTGGGAGTCGGAAGGTTAAAAGTATTGTGCGAGCGTAGATATCTGGCAAGAACATTAAATGTCATAAAAGCTATAGACTTGATCAATAGATTATAGACTAGATATTATATAGTCAGTGTTGACTCTATTCGATGCTGTGAAATAAGAATCTCTATCCAAAATTATGCGTGAAACAATCAGACAAATTTGCCAGCTCCAAGAGTATTCTTTGAGGAAATGAAAGATTCATTTGTAAAATGAAATGCTAATGGAGTGATTTCATATTAATCTCGTTGTTGCCTTTTTAGGATCGGCGTTGTGTATTTTGCGTACTGTCGCAAAGAAAATTAATTATTGCTTTGCAATTTAGTTAATTATAATTAATAATTTCGGTAAAAATAATTGTTGTTTTGCAATTTTGTTAGTTATAATTAAATAATTTGCTTTGCGATAAAGGGTCACCCCATTATTTATACCGAGTCAATGAATACATTTGAAACATTTTCATTTTCAATTTAGCAATTTGGCCGTAAAAAGTTTTTTTTTTCAATATTATCGTCAGTTTCTACAAAAAACAGTTTCACGTCTCGTATTAATATTAAAAACTCAAAGAAATTAAATATAAATTAGTTAAATTACCTATCAACCATAATGTAACAAAAGAATATAAGCATTTGACCTAGTGATTTCAACGTGCTCTCATCCCTGGATTCGTAGGTTCATACCCATGCACCAATGTGTTTCTATGTGCGCATTTAATACTCGCTCGTACGGTGAACGAAAACATCTTGAAGAAACCGGCATGCCTTAATCCCAAAAAGGATACGATGTGTGTCAGGCACAGGAGGTCGATCACCTACTTGCCTATAAGAAAAGATCACGGAACAGAAATCAGAGACCCAGACCTACAAGGTCGCGCCGTTATTTCTCGGGCATTCAGTAGGTACCGAAGCAAACTTGTGTCTGAAGTCGAAACTCTACGTGGAGTCTCGGTCTGGAGTCGAAGGGAATCTAGTACAATTTAACCCCAAGAAGACACAAGGTTGTGTGTTTTCCGCTAAAAAAGAACCTTTGTCGCTACTCCTCTCTTCGATGACACTCTCCTTAAAACCAGAGCCAGCATTGGAATACTGGGTTGACATATCGAATGACGTTCAGTTTCGCGCTCATTTGGAAGGGAAGGCTAAAATAGCCTGTAAGAAGCTTGGTGTGCTCAGCTACACGAGACGGTACTGCACTCCGGGCCACCACTTGCAACTCTATAAAGCGCAAATTCGGCCTACATGGAGTAGGTACTGATCTCACCGCTGGGCGGGAGCTTAATGTGTGGGTCTATGGGCGGTGGTGTCACTTAAAAAAATACAGTGACAAGAGAAGATTTTGTAATTTAAAAGTCAACTCTACTTTTCTTTCCAAATCTTTTAGAATTTTGTGTTTTCTCAAAATATAGACAGACATAACATTTATTAATAACTAACATACAGAAACACACGAAATAAAAAATAATATTTTTTTTCTTTTATAGAACAAGGTACGTTGTACGATGTGTAATACGTGTAATATAGCTGATTAATGAAAATTTTATTAGCAGTTCGTCATGACTGTACCGAAATCCAACATCGAATCCCAACACTTAACTGTTTATATCAGAGTTAAAGCTATAGACACTGATTAATGCGATTTTAATCCTTCCATAAAACCCCCAAATCCGTCCCGTTTTAATCGCCCCTGTAACGTCACGTTGCCATTTTGATTTTGGACTTTAGCACATCGGATTAAGATCCAAATTCAATTGATAATGAAGTAACGATCAAATGAAGTATCCAAAAGGATTTCTAACTTTTAAGTCGACCAAGTTTGCGTCCAATCTCAAAAGGCTTAAGGTCGCGTTTTGAACTGTCAAAATGATAAATCTACAGATTTCTATAGAGGATTTTCGACTTTATTCTTTGGTGTTTGGAGTCAAAATCATTTGTGGGGTGTTCTCAGGAATCAATAACCAGTAAGCCGAATGAATTTGTTGGTTGCTAGAGGGAGCGGCACTGGTAAAATTCTGTATGGGATTGAGTGAGATGGTATGATGTTTGTCTGCTGTCTCTGTAATGGATTTAGGGATCTGAGGCAGATGAGGCTTGCACCTGATCTCCTTGATTTTATTTTTCAATTATGCCAGACTTCTTTTGAAAGGGTAATTTTATTTTTAGAATAATTTACGTGACAAATTTCACTTGGCATTTTAAACGAATTCTGATTTATTGAAGTTGTGTATTCAATCTAAATTTCGGCTTCGGAACCTTGGACTTTTATTAAAATATATACATATATGTGTTACACAGAGATACTGTCGCATTATAAAAGTGCAAGAAAGTTTGAAATTGGTGTATTTATTTTTGCGTTTACATGCACATATTTTCTTAGTATTAAATTACTATAGATATTGTAATAAGTATAAAAATGTAAATTAAAATTTAAAATCTTTCTATAATAACAATAAGATTTAAGAATAAATTTGTATAAAATATACATATTATTTTTTTTATATTTGTTATAGGAAAGTAAAATATCACACTAGTTAAAGTAGAGACTTTATTTAAAAATCGAAAAGTAATACAGTATGAATTGTGCTTAAATTGTTCTTAATATAAAAACTATAGTCATCCCACTCCGGAAGTGAGAGCTCAAAGATGGCCGGCGGAAGTGGGCGGAGTCATTTGATTTATAGTGTGGCATGGCGGGGCTAACGTTAACTACACGTTATAAGTTAGTAGCTTACACTTACTATTCAGCGTTCAGATAAGTGATTGAATTTAGGCACTAGTTTTATATAATTAACTACTAAGTACTTAGTACTTGTATTCATATAATAACAATCAAATATTATAAAACAGTATTTACAATATACACTTAAATATTCTTAACCTACATAGTAATAGATAATAATTAAAAATTAATAAAAAGAAAATTAAAACAGTGTACCTTTAATGCTGGCATTTCCTCACTGTATTGCGATACTTATTCGTTGAGAGAGGAAAGCACCAGCTCTGGAGTCACCGCCCACCGGTACCATCTACCAGGCGCCAACTTAAGTCTTTAATTAGCGCCTGTGCTCTTGAACCCCACGGCCAAGAGTTAATGTTAACTTGATATTCTGGGAGAAACCATTGAGTTGAAATTGGAGCCTAGAAACTCAGATACATTCCTAAACAACTGTTACACAAATTTGTAGTAACGAATTGTATACATTATAGGTACGTTAGTGTATAGTTATTTTTTTTTATAGAACACTGGGCAAACGGGCAGGAGGCTCATCTGATGTTAAGTGATACCGCTACCCATGGACACTCTCAATGCCAGTGGGCTCGCGAGTGCGTTGCCGGCCTTTAGTTAGTAGAGCGATTCTATTCTTCTACTACACCTTTAATAGTGTGTTGGTATTTTATGAATTTAGCATTAAATAAGCAGATATCGTGTCCCCACGGGACAGTCCCTCTGGACGGCCTAAGTCTTTGTCGTGTACCTACTCCCCATTTTCCATTCCCCGAGATGAGCCTTCAGGCAAACGGTGAGACTTAATTAAAAAACCATATTACCAGATCTAGGTATATATATATAAATATTCCTTAAAGATTAATTTAATAATTATATTCGGTAAAAGCGTACTGTAATTTTATAACTTTATAATTAAAACTACAGATTACTGTTACATTGAAGGCCAGCAACGCATTTCTGGAAATGAGACTGTCAACGGGTGGCGGTATCACTTAACATCAGGTGAGCCTCCAGCCCGTTTGCCTGCTATTACATAAGAAAAACCTAAATTTTCCATTCATATAAGCAAAAGTTAACAATAAAATAAGGCTCGTTTACAAAGCATCGATCGTAGTTCACATAGACTCGGAACCGAAAGCTATAACGTTAAATGACAGCCTTCTGCCCTCCGACACCCTCCCTCGGGAGGGACATAACCCTCACAAGACTGCATTGAAAAAGGTTCTTACACGCTCAAGATATGTACCTATATGAAATTACAGTGTTTTTTAACTTTAACTTTGATCACAATGGCTGAACCATAAACAGGAGTTGTCAAAATGAAAATACATATATTGCTATAGAGAACACATTTATTACATAGAATTTATTACAAAGTGGACCAGTGTTGAACGCCTCTCAACCCTGAGGTCCAGCATTCGTACGGTGAAGGAAAACATGCGTGATCGACTGATCAACTTGCCTATTAAGACAAATCATGATCTGAGGCCCAGACCTTAAAAGTTGTAGCACCACTGGCTATTAATTGTTTATTACAAAGAACAAATGAATCAGCAAGCTCACGTTATTAATAAATGTATTCAAAATTTCGTTATAAATTCATTTGATAGATACATTTTTTAAATTTAATTGTAGTTTAAGTCATTGACTCCAGTTAAAACTTTTTATATTGATTATAGAGACCTTTCTTGCTATTTTTTTGCTATTGCTTTCGAGCAGTTTTGGCCTAGTGGCTTCAGCATGCGAAGAGCGGTTTTGGCCTAGTGGCTTCAGCATGCGACTCACATCCTTGAGGTCGGAGGTTCGATCCCCAGCTTTGCACCAATAGCCTTTCTGTTTATGTGTGCATTTAACATTCGCTCAAACGGTGAAGGAATCGTGTGCAACTCGGAATTAGACCCAAAAAGTCGATGTCGTTTCTCAAGCACAGAAGACTGATCACTTACTTGCCAACTAGATTGACAAATCTGAGGCCCAGACCTAAAAAGGTTGTAGCGTCACTTGTTTTTTCTTATTTATTTTTATAGGGACAAATCTTAGTCAATAATTGCGATCTGTTCTAAATATTATATTAAAAAAATCGCTCAAATTATTTATTTTTCGAATTTTCATGACTAAAATTATAAATGTATTATTCAATAGCTGTTCAAAACGAGCGTCAACCACGCAACACAGCCACCATCAGACCTGAAACCCTGAGAGACATGGACCAGGAGAGAGCTCTGCGTGAAGCAGCCGTCGCTGTCGGTGTATTTGGGTAAGTGTAAATTTATTATCATGGTAAAGCAAAACTGGAACTGTTTACCTATTCTATAGTATTGTCTTTTATTAACCTAACATAACCTTTACACATTTAAAGAAAAAACTTTTTAACCGGTATAAAGTTATGTATTATTATAAATTTACTATTAATTAACATAATTTAAAGCTCACGGTGTCCTCTATTTTCGCGGATAGTTTTTCTTGAGATTTTAATTTGGATATTATTCTTTTTATTTCTCTACAGCTGTGATACTTTTTGACATCCAACACCTTTTGTCTTCAGTCACCGTGACCACGCACGCTGTAAAGCACGCGAAACGTCGGATAAATTTAAAATTATGTTAAATAATAGTAAATTTATAATAATAGGTACATAACTTACTTATTCTATGTTTAACATTTGATTTGTTATATTAGTTTTAAGTTAAATGTACTAAAACCATTTGTCTTAAAATTCTTATTCAAATAAATAAAACAAATAGTTGAAAGAAGAATTAAAACTCTACTCATAAAACTGAATTATATCACTCCCTTTACTGTGTAAAATATCCTGCTTTGGAACGGGATATTTTTTTCTTTGCCACTAGAGGAAACCTTACCTCTTTATATCAGCAATCTTTTAATTTATCTAAAAAACTTCATGCTCTCTTCTTTCTCAAAATATTAATTCTTTTTGATCATTTATCTTCTGCCTCGTTATTTACTATCGTATTTAATGTTATTTTATGTACTTTTTGTACTTTATCCTCTGTAGATGTTTCTTTTTTTATTGTTCCGTAGGGTTGCCTGAAAATTTTGTAACGTGCTTTTTTAAATGCATGTTTTTGTATAAGGTAACAAAGTGTTAATAAATAAAACCAATTAAAAATATATATAAATACGAATGAATATCCATTGTTACTATTTTATTACCTAAGCTTAAAGAAAACTTGTAATTACCCAGCCCACGCAAATGTTAGTAGTAAAGTAAGGATTGTAAGAATGAAACTGCCTAAAAATAACCAAACAGTTACACTAGACCGTATTAAATAATTAATTATTAAATCACAATAATTTTGCCCTTATCCTTTCATCGCAACCAAATAGTCTATCGAACAAAACCTATCCATGAATCATATATGTACATACTTGTAAAATAGTATACCTATTTATTCGGTTTTCGAGGTTGAAATGTCACGAGGTTACTAAGCCCTAACCACTACTGGTGAAAAGAGCTTTGAATTAATTCAAATAGTCTTCCATTCATCACGAGAGTAAAAAGAAAAGCGAGTTTCACAATTCGCTGGCTTCACCATGATCTCTCTAACGGAAACGCTTTGTGGAATACTGTGCTCACTCTGCTCTCCCGGAAACATACTGTTTTTATCTTATATAATTTTCGTAGCAAGAAGCCTTTAACTGATTTGGCAGTTTGGTGCTTAAAGTATTTCGATTTATTAATTGTTTTTAGTTTAATATAAATATTGTAACATGTAAATTGTACACCCATTGGTACATTACGCGTTATTTATTTTTACAGACAAATACAGTCTTAAAAGCCTTATAAATTTCTTATTATTAATAATGAACACGTGTAACTTAGTAGCTGTATTGCGATACTTATTCGTTGAGTGAAAGCACTCAGGGGTCTACCAGGTACTGTACTGCGTACTAGAACCCAGAGCCCATCCTACTTCAAAGGAGACAAAATCAAAGTTGGAAGAAAGATTTGAATTTTTCTTTATTATTTTCCGCTATACGAGTACCTACTCTGCGGTCGCGCGCGAAATTGTTACCAGTGTTGTTATGTTATTTGGGAGGTACATATTTAAGTGATGGAGTACTAAACGTTTATAATCGCAATTAGTTTTCCAGAGAAACATTCATCCATTATCATTGTATTTTACACTGTTTAAATTTATTTATGGTAATAAATTGTGATACATAAACGCATCTTTAATGCCATGAATTTTCTGGGTACATGTCCCATTCAGGATACGATTAACACAATTCTGTATTCAAAATAGTATATTTCATTGCGGATGCGGAAAGCCTGTCATTGCAAAGAGTTCCGACTCATTTCTTTTTAGAAATATTTGCATCATAAAAAACTTAGATTTTTTTTTTTTTTTAAAACACTATTTTGACCGGATTGAAGTTATGTATTATTATAAATTTACAACTATTTAACATAATTTTAAATTTATCCGACGTTTCGCGTGCTTTACCTACAGCGTGCGTGACCACGCACGTATTTTACACTGTTTAAATTTATTTATGGTAATAAATTGTGATACATAAATGCATCTTTAATGCCATGAATTTTCTGGGTACATGTCCCATTCAGGATACGATTAACACAATTCTGTATTCAAAATAGTATATTTTATTGCGAATGCGGAAAGCCTGTCATTGCAAAGAGTTCCGACTGATTTCTTTTTAGAAATATTTGCATCATAAAAAACTTAGATTAAATTTTTTAGTAAAAACTTCGTGGTTGGTTTTTTCTTTTTAATAGACATTATTTTGACAGTTAGGAAAGAGAACGCACGAGTTCGGGAAAGGTAAAGAAAAAGCTTGAGTATGTAATAGCCCTCATCCCGAACGCTATACGTCCCTCCAATACGCCACTTTTTGAGCAACTGTATTAAAAATAGTTGTTCAGTACACGTGCAGAACCGTCATTGAACTCGTAATGAAATATACTATTGTGATAAACCTGTCAAGTTAAAAGGTCAACTAATAATTGCACGTCTAGCCATTCTATTAATAATCATAATGTCACTAATAGCGTCAAAACTAATAATAACCGGGAATATTTAGAAGTAGTCTGGATATGAATGACGTCAAATCATTGAGACGTAAATCAAGTTTCAAAGTGATCAAAGGTGAGTAACGGATGACCGCGTGGCGTGATCATTTAGCGGAAGGGTTTCCTCTTTGGTGCTTCATCTAATATTATATTATCGCAATTGTGCTACAAGAATACACTGACATTCTTTGCCTTTTTTAATTTTTAAAAGTAGTAGTTAACTAAAATAACTCTGGTAGTGAAACCAGCTACCCACTGAAGTATTTCCGAACCAATTCGACTTAGGGTCCTTCAAGAAAAGAACGCACCAATTTTTTACCAGCAACGCACTCGCAAGGCATTGAAAGTATGTATAGGCGGCGGTATCACTTAACATCAGGTGATGCATTTGCCTTTTTCTATAAAAAATAATAATAATAAGATTGGTCCCAGTGGCGGTCCCTTTATGCGAACAGCGTTCCTCGCTATTGCAAAGCTTATGAGCGGAGAATATACCAGCTCCAGGGTCACTGGTGCTGTCTACCAGACGCCAACTTAAATCTGTAGCCTGAGCACCTTTTCTCTAATTATAATCAAAGTTGGAAGAACGTATCTTAGGTTTTTCATAAACAAATGCATAAATGAAAAGGCACACAATTTGTGCTATACTCAATCAAGATCAATCTTAACAAATTTTGGTCGGCATAAATTAAATACGAATTGTTTGTAAAACACTATTATGAAAGTACCAAGTTATAGCAATTTCAACTGAATTTGTTCCCTTTGGAGTAGACTCTTGGGCCGTGGGTTTAATTAAAGATTTAAATTGGCGCCTGGTTAGTACCGGTGACCCCAGACCTGGTGCTTTTCTCGCTCAACGAATAAGTATCGCAACAGCGAGGAAATGCTGCCAGCGTTAAAGGTACACTGCCACAGGGACCAACTTCTTAAATTTGCGTTATTTATTATTATTATTACTATGTACATTAAGAATATTTAAGTGTATATCAATTAGTTAATTGGAATACATTTAGCCATACCTGTGTGTAAGAATGTAATAAAAATTCGTTTAGCTTCCTAGAAGTAGCGAACAAGAAAACCCACTTTAAACGAAATCAACCCCACAACATTTGGCAGTCAAATCTGAGCAATCGTGGGGAGTGCACAACGGTGTCTAGTAAATCATTTGTATGAGTTGTATGCTAATGTAATATTTGTGAATGGGACTTTTATGAGCTCAAGGGAAAATATTTATTATTTACGCGTGCTATTTTAGATTATATTGCGTGTTAGAATAGTGGCGATTGCCTGGAGCGAATACGATTTCTAGAACCTTTCTATGTTAAATCTCTATATATAGTATTGTCTTTGATTAACATAACTTTTATTCATTAAAACACTATTTTGACCGGATTGAAGTTATGTATTATTATAAATTTACAACTATTTAACATAATTTTAAATTTATCCGACGTTTCGTCACCGTGACTACGCACGCTGTAAAGCACGCAAAACGTCGGATAAATTTAAAATTATGTTAAATAGTTGTAAATTTATAATAATACATAACTTCAATCCGGTCAAAATAGTGTTTTATTAAATCTCTATATATATACAATTCTCGTGTCACAATGTTCGTTCCCATACTCCTCCGATACGGCTCGATCGATTCTTGTGAATTTTTTATACATATTTAGTAAGTCTGAGAATCGGCTACTATCTATCTTTCGAAACCTAAAATTTTTATTTTTATTTATTAGACTTAAAAAAAATTGTTTTTATTTTTTTATGATACAACATACAAAAATACATACAGCCCCTAATTTTCAGCCCTCTACCAACATCCCCCATTTTTTATTATTGTAGATAGTTACTTTTATTGAACTAAACTTTTTTTCCTAGAAATACATACATGGTAAAACAACCTTTGACGGGTCAGCTAGTAATATATAGATTTCTATATAAAAAGCGTACCAATTCTTAACAGGCCGGCAGCGCTTGCCTTCTGGCAGTGTGAATGTCCATGGGTGGCGGTATCATTGAACATCAGATGAGCCTCCATCCCGTTTGCCTCCTGTAACATCAAAAAATATAAGCGGTGAAAATATTTAATATTAAAAAGGATAACAGCGTGTTGAAAAATTCCTTAACTTTTATTTATTGACAAAATTAATAAAAGACTATAATGTCGAAAAACATATATTAAGATATCAATATCGCTACTGTGAACTTTGCGAACATATAAATTCAATAGTGTCGAACAGCATTCAGTAGGCGTAACATCTTTGGTGATCTGTGCAACAGACTAGTTCTGGCGCTTGGTATCGCAAACAACCTCGGCCTTCGACGTCGCACATTTCCCCTGGGTTCAAAGAAACCAAGTCCACCAACTTCCGCAAGACTTTAAGTACGATAATTAAACCCAATTTAATACCTATATAAAGTTCTCGTGTTATGGTGTATGTAATAAGTCCTCCGAAATGGCTCAATCGTGCAATTTTGTGTGCATATTGGTTAGGTCTGCGAATCGGACATCATATATTTTTCATCCTCCTAAATGTTCACCACTAATTTTTTTTAAATATTTTTATGATACAGCATACAACATACAACCCTTAATTTTCAGCCTCTACGATTTATTATAGTAGATAGTTATTTTATTGAACTACAAAAATGTTTCCTAGAAATAATATATATGGCAAAACAGCGTTTGCCGGGTCAGCTATATGTGTATATGTTGTACCAATAGACTAATAAAAATGTGTATATGGAGTGCGGAAACTAAAACAATAGACAACATAACAAAGTGTTGTACTACACTTCGATAGGAGACATATGTAAAAAAAAAGCCTGTGATACCAAAAAAAAAATATATTTTTGCATTTATAAGTCTATTTAGCGAGAAAAGCTTTAGGCTATGGAAGCACGGCTAGTTTAAATTCAGTTCAGTTACAAATTATTAATGATTCTTCAGGCAAGTAGGTCTATTTCACGTTGACTGCACAACGTGTGACACGTGTACATCTAAGAAAAGTGACCTCATCGTGAGGAACCCTATATTCAACCAGGAAAAATTACTTTTATTATTATTAGGTATTTATAAGTAATCTTACACTACACATATTTAAAACTAAACACTTAGACAATATATTATAAAGCCAAAACAAATTACATTGTTCAACATAATATACGAAACAGACAACATAAGTCAATTAATAGATTAAAAAAACTGAAATTAAACATCAAGCAAACTACAACTTAATATTTTAGAGAAAAAAGAGATTGTTTCTACTTCTAAATAAAGCCAAAGTCCTTCTGCTCCTAAAATAATTCCTCCCACCATCTATGGTAAGGTCATAAATTTGTTCGGTATCTTCTATCTGTATTGTAGTTAGAAAACCCGAAACATCGGCGAGTTACGCAGATAATTTGTATCCGTATGAGACACATTTGCATATTTTGTCGCATACAGAAAAGGGATTCTTAAAGAAGTTATTGCAACTAATAAGCTTCTAAATCTATCCGACCATTAAGAACACCGTGCTTTGAAACTAACAAAAACAATATCACAAAATAGGTACTAGACAGGATTTGTCAGCGGTCTTACTGCTAAACCCATCTTAGTAACAATTTTAATATGCTTGTTGCAGCCCTCCAGTATCGCTGGCAATGGCACTCTCACCAGCACGGTACCCACTACTATCACCCCATTACCCAGCCTTGCCCCCACCACCGCCTATTCAGCCAGACTCCGTTCATGACACTCATGATGAAGGGAATGCTCACTCTGATAGTGATGGTAAGTTTTATTCAGTATCTTATTGTCTACCCGCGGCTTCTATGTGCTTTTTATACATTCGTTTATTTAATTTATTAATACGCACATTAACAAAGGAATATTAAACAATGTTCACTCATTAGGTTGTATAGGACTTCTTCATTTCGCTTTCAGATGACAGCATTGATGTGACAAATGAAGAGGATTCCACATCATACTCACCCCCAGCTATAAGCTACCCACAGAATTGCATGCCTTATGGGTGAGACACACTTTTCTTTTCTGATTCTATACACTTTTTAGTACCTACTTCACAGAAATAAATCGTTAAAAAGAAATGGAATTTTATTAAAGTTTTTGTATTTTATATGGAATATATTTAGAAGATCAATTTAGACAACTTGAAGTTTAGTTTTTCAGCAATGGTCAATTCTCACTCTTGTGATTTCGCGAATAACTTCGATTATATCTGTCAGTTTTAATTAAGATTTTAATTTCAATAATTGTATTTGAACTCCAAGTTACTATTGGAAGAAGATGATTTGATCTTATATTATTATTACATTTCTAAAGAAAGGTTATTTTAAAGAAATTATTATTAACTAAAGTATCACCTATTGTTAAGAATTTGCCTAGTAATGACAGAACATGGAGACAGTCTTCGGTCTCACTATTCTGTTTTCGGTTTTAGTCGCACACGTGAACTGTCGCCGTGACGATCACAGTCTCCGTCTCTGGTCTCAGTCTCCTGTCCTAATCGAACATTTAATAATAATAATAATTAAGTCCGTTTATTTCCAATATTTCCAATTGAATATACAGTTTAGATTTGTTTATTTATTCAGCTTTTTCCACATAATTTCCAACATTTAGTCTTAATAAAGTTTCTAACTACGATTTTTAGTGCGTTGGGCGTAGAGAGCGCTGCGGAGACGGCAGCTCGTCTCTTATTTATGGCTGTTAAGTGGGCGAAGAACTTGCCGTCATTCGCCAGTCTCTCATTCAGAGATCAGGTAAATTCAAAACTAATCTCAAAGCACAGCTACAGTTCAAACACCAATTTCCAAAATACTTTCAACAATTTTTTCTTAGAGGAAACAAAAGCGGGTATTTCCAACTGTAACTCTGAATCGACATATCATGATAGGGTTATTTGGTAAGCCCATATGAAACTTAGTATATCGGTGTTTATAATTAGTAATAACAATAATAAAGGAAAGGATGACCCTTAACAATGTATCAATCCCGATCAATTTGTAATAATGAAATAATCCCAAAACAGCTACACGAATCTATCAAATTGTTAGACCTACCAAAATTCATTTATATCATCAGGAATAACCCTCAAAATTCAACAAAAAAATATAAAAAATAAATCAGTGACGCTAAACCTCTCCAGTTCTGGGCCTCAGATTTCTCAATCTGTTTCATGATCATTTTTCAATCTAATAGGCAAGTAGGTGATCAGTCTCCAGTGCCTGACACACGCCGTCGACTTTTTGGGTCTAAGACATGTCGGTTTCCTCACGATGTTTTCCTTCACCTTTCGAGCGAATGCTAAAAGCGCACATAGAAAGAAAATCCATTGGTGCACAGCCGGGGATCGAACCTACGACCTCAGGGATGAGAATCGCATGCTGAAGCCATTAGGCTATCACCACTCTAAATTCTACAAGAAACATTAATAAAAACTACATTCACTTGGCTTAGGTCCGTTTGCAACTGTGTACCAGGATCAGGAATCGAATCTGAACTAAAATAAACAGTTACCAAACATTATAATAATTTGCAAGAATGGTACAAAAATCTAATGGAGGTACAATCTAAATTTCGCATATTCTGCCACACATAATGACTTGCAAATTTGTCTTACATAATTAAAAGGTAGAATTTTACATAGTACTTACATATTACATTATCAATCATATCATAGTCAATTCTCATATTATTTTATCACTACATCGTCATAATATTAAAATATATTATTACATTATCAAATTAGTACTACACACATTAATCGAAATATTTAATAAATTAAATAAAAATTAAATAAATATTAATATTTTATTTCAGGTTATTTTATTAGAAGAAGCGTGGTCCGAGTTGTTTCTTCTAAACGCCATACAATGGTGTCTGCCTTTGGACGCGGCCGCTGCAGCCTTATTTGGGACCGAACAGACCGACCAAGGTAAGCGTTACATTATTTAAAAATATACATTAAATAAACTAGACCTAACAAAATGCATTTAAATTAATAACTGTTGTTTAAACTATTGCGGAATATGCTTCAAAGGAGTATTAAGAATATCCATAGCACGAAATCGCCTGCATCATGAGTACACCCCACATACACACCCTCACTTTCACACAAACACACAATACAGCCGAATTATTCATTACTTAGTTGAGTGAATTTATTGATTTTTTCTTTCGTAAATGTTGGACCGTTTTGTATTATTTATTTTATAGGCATAGACATAAGAAAGAGAGAAAATACTTTATTACAGATGGTTAAAAAAAGTACAGTTAATTGCTATCTTAATCTTCTTTACAAAACAACACACTCAAAATACAAAATATATAATAGTTGTCAAATTTATATTCGTGACTTTTGAACGTTAACTAAAAATTTATTTGATACTAGTAGCGCCATCTATGTGTCAGCCTACGAACTTTCAAGCCCACGTAATATTCCGCGATAGTTTAAGTGTCGAGGCTTAAAAAGTGGTCGTTGTCTGAGCTGCGCGATACAATACTGAGTTTTTAAAACATGTTGCAGACAGCGGTATTAGTTCATCAACCCGTCGTCGCTTGAGGGAAGTGCTATGTCGGTACCGCGCCGTTCTCCTGGACCCAGCCGAATTCGCATGTATGAAGGCTATTGTGCTTTTCAAATGCGGTATGTATATATTACTTAGATGGAAATTCTAAAAAATTAAATTAAATTTTTCCCTAAAATTGAAAATATGTATGTTATGTTTACATTGGAGGTAATCCAGGAGATCTCATGGGATTCTTATGGGACCTGAACAAAATACCAGTGGTGCTACAGCCTCTAAGTCTTGGCCTAACATTTCTGTATTTGTGATCATTCATTGTTCTAATAGGCAAGTAGGAGATCAGCCTTCTGTGCCTGTCAGTTTCCTCACGATCTTTTCCATTACTGTACAAACGATTTCAATCCGCACAAAGGAAGAGACAGCCAGGGTTCGAACCTACGACCTCAAGGATAAAAGTTACACGCGGATATGATGTTGTGTAGACACCAAAAAATACAATTGAAATGTGTTTTCCAGAAACACGAGGTCTCAAAGACCCTTTACAAATCGAGAACCTCCAAGACCAGGCCCAAGTGATGCTAATGTCTCACACGCGAAATGCTCATGGGGCCGCCCCTGCCCGTTTCGGCAGACTCCTGTTACTCCTGCCTCTTCTCAGATCTGTCACTCCTATGCAGTTGGAAAGGGAGTTCTTCACTAAGACCATTGGCCAGACGCCAATGGAGAAGGTTTTGGCGGATATGTATAAGAATTAAGCTTTTACGGCCCTGCAGGGTTACCCTGTAAATATACAGCGATGTTACTAATATAATCGTGCTATGATCGCTGTATCGCTCTTTATTGTATTCTGTAGTAGACAAAAAACTAAATGAAAAATATTTTCATTTTAACCAGGAATTTATTTATTTGTACGTTTAAATATAAGAGCGGAGAAAGTTGTATAAGAATTTCGTAAGATGCACTTGCTTAGACATATACCTACACTCTAGTCATTTTATGAATGTGTAAATATTATATATTAGATTCAAACGAATTAATGGCCTCGTAAGATAATATTTGTAAATAGTATGTAGCAGTGAGGCGTGAGCACAAAAACTATCGAATTTAAAATTCTATGAAATTCTCCAAACAGAGGTCAGTTTAATTTATATTAAGACTCCGTGATCTACAACTCGCAGTGTTTCCCACGCCCCACAGGGGGGCAATTTGATAGTTAAAGGGCTATTCGAAAATTAATTAAAATTATTTGGAATTTCAATTTCAGTTATTCCTTACGTTTAAAAAATTTACTTACTGTGTTTCGTCAAAAAAATCCTAGTAATTTCTTCAACATTCTTAAGAATTAAAAAAATATGTATGTATATACTAGCAGACCGGCCAAGCGTTGCTGTGGCTAAGGTTTTTGTTATATTAAATAGTAGCAAACTATTCAAGGGAAACGGTAGGAGAACACCAGTCATGGGGACCACCATGCTTTTTTGGTGGTTATGCCATTAAATTGTAGCTTATGTGAAACGTTGGTACTTTCAACACAGCGCCATGTGTTAGAATTGTGATTATCAAATAATAAACAAATATTTTGCAATGAAATAATATTGCGGGTATCGATTGAGATGTAAGCTATCCTATCTTTTAAGTTGGATCAAACTACACACGGTGTGCAAATTTTATTGAAATCGGTTCGATGGTTTAGGAGTCCATAGCGGACAAACAACGTGACACGTAATTTATATATATTAAGATTACATAGGGGGGTCTAGCCATTTAAGAAAGGTTAAGGTGGTACCTATACGGCACAAAAAAAGGTGGAGAGACACTGCTCTAAGCTTAAGATTCAGAGTCAAGACTTAACTATCACTACGGTATGTCAAAAACTTATTTTGACAGATGTCATAGCATGTGACTATGACGCTCGTATGTAAAAATACAAGACATTTTTGACGTACCGGATACAGACACAACTCGTTTATGAATGTTTCTATAGTTTCTATAAGTCTCACTTCAGATTTTTTCCTTTCTACTACGATGGAGTGAATATCCGACAAGACCGGAGTATTGCGTGATTTGATACCTAAAAGGCAGCATCATGGATGTAGGTATTTTTTTCTAGTTTGACTGAATTTTAGTTTATGTGACAGTTGGGAATCAAAGATAAAATCGTAATTGCAGTCTAACAAATTGCTAACATATGATCAATGTTACGAAGTTTCTGGTAAATTTTTGTGCTCACTGATACAAACAAATTTGCATTACTAAATAGAATCATAGTTGTAATATGCTTTTATTATAGCGCCACCTGTCACACAATTTGTAGTTTAAAACTTGCATCAATTACACTACGAAGTACTACAAATTATAACTAGATGGCGCTTTTCCAAATTTAAATGCTGAAGTTTCTCTGTTTTCTATATTAATATAAGCTAATAATTTATACAATATCCGGACAGATCGAGTAGATGTACATGCCTTTGAATTTTCATGTTTCAGGAGTCAGTTGTAAATATAGAAGGAGACATGTAATTTACGTATTTGTTAATAAACTTGCATTTGTACTTGGTAACTTGTTCCTTCGTATATATTATTATAAATGTTGTAAAAAGCCTAAATAATAAATGTTAGCTTAATTTGTGTATTTAGTATAAATTAGTGAATGTGCTTACAATATATCAATTGTTTTCTTTCATTGTAACATTATCATAGATCTGTGTGTTTACTGCCATTAACCAAAATGTTCATGATTAAATGTAATTCGATGTTCAGTTGTTTTTTATTAGTATTTGCATAAAACCTCTTGATACCAAATTATTATAATTCATATTAGTTTCTGAATATACCACTTCGTAATTAGTTAATGAATTCCAGGCGTCATTGTTTATCGCATTAGTTTGTATTTATATTCTAGATGTCGCTACGAAACCTCGACTAATATATTTTTTCTTGCGGAACAAATGCCTAACTGATAACTCTTTTAAATTATACACAAAAGATTCGATATTTTCTACAGAATTTACTCATTACGATTCCCTTAAATTAAATTTATAATGTAACACATTTTTACAGTAACAGCAGAACAAAATAACACGTAAACAGTGGCGCTAAAACCCATGATATTAGCCTCAAATTTATGTTTCTGTTTCGAGATTATTGTTTTTCCAATAGTCAAGTAGGTGACTAGCCTTCTGAACATAACACACGCCATCGTCTTTTTAGGTCTAAGGCTTGAATATGTTTTCCTTCACCATACAATCGTTTCAACACCAGCCGTATCAATTCCAAATTTCAACAACATCACCTTGATGGCTGGAAGTCTTCCACAGTCCGTTTCACAAGGCATTTTCTTTTGCGAACTAGCGAACTGATGAATATACTCCCTGTGGCGGTCATCCCTGAGAGCTCCAACCTTCAACTATTCAAAATTCTAGTGTACTCCTACCTCAAAGGCTGGCAACGCATTCGCTAAAAATGGGTGTCCATGGGCTGCTATGACTGCCCTTTGGGCGTCCCGTAGGCTCGTTTGCCTATATATATATAAAAAAACAATCCAGTGTTAAATGCATAGAAACAGAAAAATCCATTGGTAATTAAATTAAACAAAAAGATGGCCGTTAATATTTATTTATTAACTAAACAATATGTCTTCTTATCCACAAAACAACTCAAAGTGTGAAAAATTTCTATACATATTTCAATTGTTATAAAAATAAAATTCTCTAATCATTTAAAACCCCACAACACCTAGTCAAACGTAATTTGTGAGAAACAATAACAACTAATAATATTTTTTAGTTAAATTTATATTGTGCATTAAATAAAAGGAATAAAGAGCTTCTGTCCTATCTCATATCATTTAGTTTCGTATTTAATCCCGATCTCGGAGGACAGTTGCTCACTGTAAACGGAATTTGCGGGGCAAAGATACACTTTAGGAATGTCAGAGAGTTCAGAATGCCTAGATATAGGCCTCGCGCTAATCACAATAAGAATGCTGCGTTAGACCTGACATCTAGAAAATCGTCTTGATGTAAATTATAAGTGAGTACACTGTTGACTGTACAGTGCCATATTAAAACATCGCAAACTGAACAAGTCCCGAAACGTTCGGTAGGTATTCAAGCGGCATACCCGCCGTTGCCCCCGCACCTGTCCAGTCGGACAAAATTCATCAAAAAGGGAATGACGTGTCACTGTTATAAAAATTACACTATATTAATATATTTCGATATTTTATTGATGTATTGTTATTATAATATTATTTTCTAAATAATTAAAAATCATATTTTATATTTATGTGGCCACTATTTAAACTATTGATGTGTTTAATTAATTAAAGTGAATTGTAGAAAAAAAGTCGGAGCTGAAAATATGGCCACCTACTGGCCATATTTACATTACGACTTTTTTGGGTGCCTACCTACGGCTGAATTTACACAAAGCGCCACAAGTTTTGGCAGAACGCGGAACAAAACGTGTACATCTAGTAGCACCAGAGCATGGCGAAAATGTCACTGTACATACCTCATTACATAGTTGATACCATTTTTGCTTTTTTTAAAAGTTTAAGATTTAATAATAAGAAGTCTGATAAATTAGATTTATTGATTTCAAGTACCTAAATGAAATTTTTACTCACTATATCCTAATAATTACTAAGTATTTTAATTCAATATAAATTAAATAGCTATAATAAAAATATAACTCAGCGTACTGTTAATATGGCCACAAGTGTGGGCATATTTACATACACTGGCGGGGTGGTTTCCCCGTTTTTATATAAATGCATGTAACTCAAAATTTTAAATATATTTGTTATATTTTTCTTTGTAGTTTGTACACTAGATAGATACACTTTACTAATAAGTACCAATGCTTAGCCCAGTACCATAAAATATGTCCAAAAATTTATATCAAACCTTAAGGTGGCCATATTCGAGCCAGGTACTTTACATTATACTTTTCTTGGCCGGTAAGAGCGTCGCTGTCATGGATGTGTATTGCCAGTAAATAAAAATTAACCATTACGAGTATAAGGGGAATAATTTGAAGTCGTGCAGGCTAACTTTATAATTTATTGAAATGTCTTAATAAAACAGTGTATATATATTAGTTTTTTGTGTGGCTTTGTTCGTGCTATAAATAAATAAGGTGTGTTGCTGTTTGAATCTCGTTAACCAATACAGGTACTATTTGTTATATAGATAATGCGAAGTAAATACAGGTGTTGATATGCTGCTCGCAGAGAGCGGTTGCTAGTAGCGCGTAATTCAGCTGTAAACGAAACATCTCGAAATACTGATATTATTGGCGACTAGTCGGGTAGTCGGAACACCTATAATAATTAACATTAAGTTACTTATTTTAGTAAATAATTAGAGACGTAGACAAAATGTTAGCAATCTTCGCACACTTAAAGCCAATATGAGCCCATTAGTTTTTACCACACTTATTAATTGTAATTTAACATTCTCCTTTCCGATAATGTCTAATAACATAGCGTCATTAAGATTTATGAATAGATGAGCCAAGTTAGTTTTTGTTAGCGACGCAACCCCACTACCCCTAATTTTGTGCTAGTTATAAGCTCATATTTAAAATATTTATATTTGTACGATAATATATAATATACTATTAAAGTCGGTTGTTACCCAGCTTCAAACAAAGCGTTTCATTTAACATACATCTGAACATAATATCTACAACAACCGCCACCGAACTTAACTTACGAATAAGAACAAAAACCAAAACAATTTTTAAAGTCAAAGTAAATTATCTAATAGGAAAACCAAATAGAAGTGATTAGTTTTGTTATTGTAAACCGTATTGTTGTATTCCGTATCAATTACAATACCTAATTACAATTTGATAATATTAATTAAGTTTTTCCTGTTGTACATTAATTATTGTAACCACAATGTCTCACAACATCGTTATAGTTAAAAAACATTTATGAGTTTATAATATAAGATTCAACTTATTCTAATTAAAAACTTTATTGAGTTTGAAAATTACATACATTAATTAGTTAACGAAGATTAGGTACAAATACCAATTTTTAAAGTGGCCAATCCCACCGTTTAGATAGCCCACAATCAAACTCCATCTAGAAACAAAAAAAGTGCGTGCGTACAAAGTACACATGTCAGAAGTGAAACTTATTTGGCAATTAACAAATTTTTAAGTCTTGTTCATATTTATACAAATCTAAAACTTTAGATTTCCGAAACTTACAGAGAGGGAAAAAGAAAGATAATATGTTAGGAATTTAATTGTCATTAAAATATAGTGTCGAAAATTAATAGAAATAATAAATTTAATTTGTTCATGTTATTTCTTCGATGATAAAATCACGTGGCCTTTTAATTTACAATTCGTCATTTGAGATTTCAATAAATTATTTTGCATAAATAATATTTCATAAAATCACTTTACGAAATTTTAATAATATAAATTCTATAAGGTAATTTACCCTTCTCACTCTCTCTCAATCCGTCTCAATCGCTCTCTCCCTTTGGACAAAAACGCTGTACATCTTCGTGACGTTCCGTAAAAATTTTACCCTCATGCGCCTAAAGAAGTTTCACTATATATAGATATAGATATCACAAACTCCATGGACTAACAAATCCGGACACATCTAAGAACAGACATTTTAAATTCCCGACCCAAAAGGACTGTTTGGCCAACGTTTTGTTGCATTCCCCCTTCCTTTATAATACAATCTTCACAACTATGCAGAGATAATCAAACTATCCTTACACAAACTCACAACTCACATAAAAATTACGCTAGCTTAGGATTTGGATACTAATTACTACGTATCTTGGCATGACTCTGAGGTTCTAAAAACTAACACAGACACAGAGCACGCTTATAACATCTCTCAGCTACACACTCAAATACATACCTACGCAATCACAAACCTACTCAAACGTTCACGCATACTTAATGTTTTACTATACGACTTATCTTTGATTAGTAGTAACACTAAAACTTTTTCTTTACTTAAAAATGTTTTAAACATGTACGGAATAGTTTTTCTAGTTAAATCTAGTTACCAAAAACACACCAATCACTTTCCGAGCGGTTACATGCCTTGGCGTAGAGATGTGGGGTCACTCTGCATATTCTACCGCATTTACTATTGGAGAGCGTTCAGAAGAGTTGTTCGGGTTAATACATGCGGCTGAGTTTCATCATCGGACGTCGAGGTAGAATACGAAATTCCACCCGTATCACCTTGACTTCCGTCGTTCCACAACTTAGCGTTATTTAAGGTTTATCTAATGAGGTTAAAAGTAGTTCAATACAGAACTAAAGTAAAACATTTAATTTGTAAATTATTTGCGTATTGATTTGCAGCGGCAATCACTCATCAGCGTCTTTAAATGTATTGGTAATAAAGTCTACATCACATAGATTACGTGATTGAAAGGACAATTTACAACAGTATTTTCCGACACACCCATATTACAGAGGAAAATTTGTGGAAAATCCAACAATTGATTTAACTGTACTAATCATGACATGCATAAAATATTGATGAAGTTGCACATAAGGTTTTAATAGAAAAGCTTCCCCATTGACCGGAAAAATTTGCTAAGTATAACTTTTATCTAATGTATCCACTATCATATGTGGACCAGTCTAACCAGTAACTGGAAAGTCCAAAGGCCAAAAGTGGTTAAGGCAGAAAAGTTTTACAGCAGCTGGAACCTTAGCTGGTCAAAACGGGTTGCCTGCTGCAAAGAAAAAGGATGTTATCAACTTATTGATTAAACAGTTTGGTGATAATTAGGCTGGACAGCAAGAACTTGCGTGAACAAACAGATCTTGATGGAAGAAACAAAAACTATCAGAAACCCAGTGCGTGATTGTGGGTCAGAAGAATGTGAACGTCTGGAGCCTGATTTAGGCTAACTAAGAGTTTAATCTTTCTTAAAACATTTATTTTTCTTGTTGACCAATAGGGCCTATTTTCCTTTAGCCGAATCAAAAGGCACTATTTTCAAAACTGTCTGACCAAAACGGCCTATTTATATTTAATAAAAAAATACCTTTTTATTGAAAATACTGTTAAATATTAGTTGTACTATATTCTTAGGGCTAAGTTATTTTAATGAGGAAAAAATAAATACAGCCAAAGTTACAGGTTGTTTACCTAAAAATTGCTTATGGTGACCCTCATTGACTTATTTCCTATCATATTATGTGAAAACTACGTCTAAGGATTAAATTCCTACAGCATACTTAGTTAGCGCAATGACTCCTGTTTGTTAAAAACCATTTTACAACAGATATTAGATATTTTTTAAAACAGTTGAATTTTTTCTACGACATATCGGATTTAAATTTTTTAAATCAAATATATTGCGAGAGATAAGATAGGAATTAACGCACATTCGGAAATTTTTAGGTACTTATATTAACTTACCTATTATAGTTAGTATATTTATATAATCGGTTAAGTCATTTATAAGTTTAATTCATGATAAAAAAATATGATGTTCATATTAGTTCAGGTACTGTTATAAGATTACTCTTAGGCTTAGGGTAACATACATATAAACGCTTTTTATATAAAAAAATATTATTGGATTCGACTCTCGAAACTGCATATCTACTATGTCTTCCATAAGTTACGTCCAATACGTTTTGAAATAATGGAAGACCTTAGTTACTAAGTGATTATTAAGGCAGTTTTTGCCTTACACCACCACTATGTGGAACCAGCTACCGGTACACGAACCAGTTCTTATAAGGACTGCATCGCACTTGTGAGCCTTCTTTCCATGGGCGGCTGTTTCATCAGGTGAGCTCCTGCCCGTTTGCTCCCCGTCACATTAAAACAGATAATTCTTCATTCTGTGCCCGGCGGTCTTATAAATTGAAGCACTCTGATTGATGAAACAGAACTAATGTCAAAACAATGATAGGGACTATTACGGGTCATTGTCTACTTAGTAAACATCTTTTTGTCCTAGGCGCGACAGACAGCCCCAAGTGTAGAGGCTGTTTCAGCGGAGAGGAATCAGTCACCCACGTAGTCCTGGAATGCGAGGCTGTGGAAATCCTCGGAACAGTGAGGTCCGCACAACGGACCTATTGAGAGTCTAAGTGCGGAAACTGAGTCCACTAACCAATAACCCTGATTGCTGTGTGGTCAAATGGTTTTGCATAGCCAAAGTAATTTCAACCACCGGCTACAATGTCAATAATTACAATTTGTTTAATATATAACCCGCAAGTGGCAAGATGACTATTAACCTTAAATAGTCCGACATTACAACAAAAAAAAATACATAAGATAATTCATTTATATTTCAATTTCTTTGTACAAAATGTTGACTTACTAGTCATACATGGCCTGGACAAGATAGTGACTATCAAATTATATCTAAATAAATTATAAACCATTTTACAATTATAACAATACATCAAATGTTTTATTAACAATAAACTAAAAGGCCTATTAAATATACATAATTATTGTAAAAATTCACTAGCATACAATTCTACAAACATACACAAACAATATGTACAGTATACAATTTTATCCACACACTGAACACACACATTAAAAAGAAACTATACAGATCTTAAAACATTTGAAGTAATTTAAATACTTAATTAAAGCATATTACCTGTCCAAATAATTAATTTAAAATTTAAAAATAACTAACACTTTTTATTTATTATAGACAGAAAATTAATAAGACATTATGTGTATGAAGAAAAAAATATAGTTTTATAGTAAATATACATGAATAATAAACAGTGCTTTGAGGAAAAATGTGACATATGAGTGCAAGGCAAAATGTCATCAAGGTCTTTAGAACTCAACATTATTATGACTCATACAATTCAGGCATATTGTATGAACCTGCAAAAGGTATAGTGTTAGTAGTTTTTTCCACAATCATATATCCAAATGGTCTGTTTGCTTCAAACTTTGTGACACCAATGCGATAGCTGAACGCTGCCGCAGCAGCTGCTGCTGCACTAGTTCCTTCCTCCGTTACCTCAATCACTGCTTTATGGGCAATTTTTGACACATATGATGGTATTTTCACCATTTTCTTCAAGTTTGATTGTGAGCTATCAAACAAATCTTTTATACCCATACTTTTAAGTGTATCAGTCAAATCTAAGTTGGTTTTCACTTTAAAGCGGGGCAAATAAATATCTATTTCGTCTTCAGGAAATTCATTAATAGACATCGCTAAGTTTGCAAGGATATGATCTAATGAGATTTGGTTTAAATTCAGAAACATTTCATTAACGGTAACATTTTGGTATGGCAGCATAACCAGCATTGAAAGACGGTTTTCTTTACCATAGGGTAATTCAATTATTCTTGCTTTAAGATCCTTAAAGTTTGCAAATGGCAGTATTTGACGATTGTACATCATATTAACTTGTCCTATCACATTTCCTTGGTTGTCAAAGAATGGAGCTTTTGTTGTGGCTGATTTATTGAATTTAAATGTCCATTGCCCTTTAAAATATAAGGCACTTGTTAGGATCATGTGACTATTTGTTAAATCATCACCTGAAATCAAGTCTGATATTTTGCCCTGAGTAAAGTTGTACACTTTACTATTAACAAAGTTAGCTGTTTTATATGGCTCCGAAAAATTAAGTGTTGCAAATGACACATTATAGTCTTTTGCAACTAATGCGAATTTCTGTGTAGGACTAACACCTTTATCGACAAACAAAATATTTAACTTGTTTAACTCAACTGTGGTTGTCTTCACTACTAGGTACTTCTCGATTCTTTTGAAGCTTTCCCTTACGCTCCTTAAGTTTTCGGGAGCTATTCTTAAAGTATTGCACACTTCCTTTAACGTATTGCTGGCAGATCCTTCGGCAATTACAGCAAGTACAGTCCATATGGTTAGTGGAGATATAACAACATTAGAATTAGGTGTTTGGGTTAAGGTCCGGTCAATTAATTCCACTGAAAAGTTGCCGATTCTTTCAGATAATCTAATATTGTTACTAGGTTTTGGTATAAGAACTAAAGTGTAAGCACTGCACACACAAAGTACGAAAACACATAACGACACAGATATATGCATTTTGTTTATCATTTATTTTAGAATTAAACTAATAAATTTATACGACGGTATGTTTCCCATACAGCCAATACAAATGACGAGTAAATCACTTTTATATGTACAACGTTTATAAACGTTGAACATCTATAGAACTATGAAACGTAATGGGAAAACCCATCGTCGAGTGTCGACTGCCGAGTGATAAAACCGGTTTCAGTGTGACCAGATTTCATTTGACGAATCTACTGCTCGTGGAGGTTAAAAACTACTGAATTCTACCGAAAGGAACGAGAAAATACAAAAAATCTATTATATTTTTTGCTGTTGGTTTACAACGTAAAACATGAATTTTCTTGATTAAACGATAAAATAATAAAAGTAGTAAAGATTAATTAAAGAAGCGAAGTTTTTTTAATTTAATTCTTACTACAATTTTTTTTTAAATTAATAATAATAAAATGAAACTTAAAGCTAAGATTTTTCGTCGTTATGTTGGATATTGTCATAAAGCTGTTTTGAGTCCATTAGCTTGATCATACTTTTGTCAGGATCAAATCTGCTACATCCTCCTTCCAACTGTCGTAGCCCCTCTTTTCCATGCATAATTGCAGCAACATTCTTGTTATTAAAACGATTTCTATCTTGACTTTTAATTCTATTAATATCGGAAAATATTCTTTCAACTTTGGCGTTAGACAGAGGTAGTATTGTCATTTGCTTCACAAACCGGGCCAAATTGCCATATTTTGGTTTGCTATTCGCATCGCAAATTTGGCTGACCTCACTCCAAAATTTATCCACCATAAAATTTTCAGAAGTTGAACTCGAAGTTGACAATAAATTAGACACGGAAACATCTAATTTTAATTCCCTATATTCGTTGTCAACAATTTGCATATTTTCTGTTGTAACTAAGTTAGGAAACCTTTGTAGTATTTTTATTAGAGTTCGAAATTCACCATACACTGCCTTTTGGGGATCGATAAACGACAAATCCTGCAAGAAATTATCTTGTACAGGCAGTCTTTGGAGAAATTGTTTACTTAGCTCGATCAAAAATGCTTGACATCTGTTAAGATACTCTTCAATTTTAGATTTCATTCGAACATCATCTTTTAATAATTCCAATGTTATGGCTACGTTTGTGCCCAGGTACATGTTTTGTATAGGAAGGAAATGCATACTTGAACTGGGATCTATTGACTGAAGCGAAGTAGTTTTAATATAATTTATCTTCATAAAACAACTCAAAATGGAACTCATCATGTTTTGTATATCTGTGTCAATTTTATGAATGAGCGTCTGATCACTTTGAAAAATAACGTTAAATTTTGTAGTTATGGGTAATATAAAATCTAAAAAGGAAAGATAAAGTTTTGTTTCATCGCTGTTAAGGTGATCAAATATAAATTGACAAGTAGCATTTGCATTCTTATTTCCTAAAAACTCATTTTGAAAAAAAAGTTTTAATGCTGACCACTGCTCTATAATTCGGTGAATGCATTGATGTAGAGAAAGCCACCTGATATCATAGTGACGAAGCATATGGTGAGTTGGAGTGTCAGTAAAATTTTGAAATTCGACAAACTCTCTTTGACGTTGGCTACTGTGAGAGAAGTATGAATAAACATCTTTGACAAACAACTCTATAGAACGAGGTAATTTTTTGCATGCATAACTTACTGAAAGATTTGTTGAGTGGCAAATACATTTAAAAAAAATACAGTTTGGGTTGACTTCCCTAATTTTAGATACCACGCTATTCCTTTCGCCAAACATAACATTCGTTGTATCAGCAGCGAACCCTATTAAATTTTCTATGTTAAGGTTTCTTTCAGATAAGGCACATGTTAAACTATCAAACAAATACTGCGCAGTTTCACCTTTTAAGTCCACCATACACAAAAATTTTGTTTGTGGAGATTGCAATTTTTCTGAGTAGTACTTTATTGCTGCTGCAAGTACCTTGGTAGTACTGACATCTGTGCTTTCGTCGATAATGAGCGAAAATACTGGGCTTCTCTCAGTTTCATTTTCCAGCCTTGGACGTAATTCTGCAAGCATTTTTTCTTCGAAGTTATTGCCTAAGACGTTGTAAGCAATTGCGGCAGATTTAGTTCTTCTACAGGAAAAACGTTTTGCGATTTCAGAGTCGTGAAATGCCCTTGAAATAACTTCGCTTACGTGATCCATTACGCGAAAAGGAATATTATGTTCCACTAATGCAGCTACAATGCTGATTTCTGCTTTTTTACTTCTTCCGAAATAGTTGATGTTTTAAAAATCGTATCAATCTGTAAACAAAAAAGTTAAAAATAAGTATGCAGGACAAAAAAAAAAAGTCAAAAACTAAGCAATCTTAATATATATAAATCTCGTATCACAATGTTTGTCCTCAATGGACTCCTAAACTACCGAACCGATATCAATCAAATTTGCACACCGTGTGTAGTTTGATCCAAATTAAAAGGTAGTTTAAATCTCAAATTATAGTCGCAATATTATTTTATTGCAAAATATTTGTTTATTATTTGATACAATTCTAACAGATGGCGCTGTGTTATAAGTATCAACGTTTCACATAAGCTTTCATCTACCTTTAAGATAAGTTCTCCTACCCCTAACAGATGGCGCTGTGTTAAAAGTATCAACGTTTCACATAAGCTACCTTTCACATACGTTCTCCTACCGTTTCCCTTGAATAGTTTACTACTATGTAATATAACAAAAACCTTAGCCACAGCAACGCTTGGCCGAGTCTGCTAGTTTTAATATATCATTTAAATAAATAAACATGCATAAACACACATAGTTGTATAATAATAATTGTTATGTAAATGTGTAGATAATAAACATACTTAAAACAGCGAAAGTTTGTTTTTGAATGGAAATCATAAGGTTTAGAACATAATACGGGTTCACGATGAAAGTATTAAATTTTTTTTAACAAAAATAATTAACTAAGACTTACATTCCACATATCAATGTAAGTACCTTACGTACCTTAGAAATGCCGGAATATCCTTTCATGTTTTTTATATGCTTTGATGTAGCCATATGTTCCTTTAAAGATGCCACTCTACTTAGTACTTCACAGTTGCATGCTTTACAATGAGCACTCGTAGTGTTTACTCTAGATTTAGACAACCAACTTTTAAATGAGGGATCTTGCTCCCATTCATCGCGATATATTTGTGTATATTTACGTTTCATTATATACTCGATTATATAAATTCTCAGTAAAGGTATTCCCACTAATCACAATATGCTCACGAGTCACGGAACGAATGGTTTATAGTAACGAAAATAACGAAAATTCAATAGAACTTACCACCCAATCGATGAAAGGGGAATACCCCGCATTTATTCGATGTGCCAAAAAAGTACCTACTAGAATAACTGATAAACGTGAATTCTACTAAAATATACCAAATAATTTTTACATACTAAATTCTGTTGCCAGTACCTCAAAATCTACCAAAAAAGTAGAAATCTACTAAATCTGGTCACACTGACCGGTTTGTATGCGGTCACCCAACCGCGATAATCGTATTATTTATTAACAAATGGGGAACTGCGAAATTTGTGTACACTGTATACATATTGTACTTACATATTGTTTTCGCAAATATAATAGGTACATGAGTTACTTCACTAGTTAGATTTCAAGATTAATTAAATATTATTTATATTCGGACTTTGTGACATGTGTGATAACAGGTATATATATTACCCTCCAACTCTAACGATGCGAAAATTAAGCTTATGATCATAATAATTATGCCCTTTAATAAGTTTAGCAGTTGAGTTTGTGCCAAACACAACTGACTTTAACAAAAAATCTAAGGTATCTTCTTTTAATGAGAATTGATATGGAAACGTTATATGCACATGTTAATCTCTATATCAATTAGAATCCCGTATAATTTTGAAAACGTTCGTGCCTGAAGGTGTGGATTTGCAAATTTTATTAAACGATATTTAGTATATACATTGTAAGAGGCGTTAAAGTTGAAGTAAAATGGACTTTAAACAAATAAAATTGTATAAGTATTTTAAAGTTTATATATTTTATTTCTACACAGTTCTTATTACCTGTAACGAAAATAATTTTGTTAAAAAATTGAGAGATGAATGGAATAATTTAAAACAAATCTATTGGATGGTACATATACTTAACTCACATATTTTTATTGAAGAATCACGAAATTAGACTTCTCGTTATCAGTATTTTCGATAATAACTATAAACATTATAAAATTTATTGTATTAATTTATTTATTTATTTATTCAAGTAGACAATCTTAAGTTCATAACATGGTTATTATAATGTTTCTTACAATATTGTCCTAAATATTATATTAGTAGGTGAGCTTTAAAGTATTAGTCTTTGTTACGTAATTGTACGGTAACTAAGCTAAGATAGGAAGAATTCAAGGAAAAAAGACGATTGCCTCATTCTTTGGTCGGAAAGGTTATTTCGCGACAGTTGTGCTAGAAGATGGGAGGACAGTTACTGCAGACTGGTATGTAAATCGCTGTTTGCCAGTTGTCTTGGAAATAATTCGACAGCAGCGCCCTCGAATCAGAATCCTCCTTCACCACGACAACTTCAGCGCACTCTGCAAAACGGACTGTTGAATATTTGACTATGGCAGGTATCGAGATAGTGAGTCATCCGCCAAGCAGTCCTAATCTGGCGCCCTGCGACTTTCATTTATTCCCAAGATCTAAAGATAAAACTCGAGGTATTCGCTTTACGAGCCCTGAAGATGCGGTGAAATCGTACGAAAATGCCATAGAAGAGACCCCTTAGGAAGAATGGGCCCACTGCTTTTCTCAGTGGTTCCATGAATGCGACGATGTCTACTGTGTAGAGAGGAACGGAGACTACTTCGAAAAGCAATAAAAGTATTGGCAACTTTCTACATTAAGCCGTAGTTCATTTTTTAAACATTTTCAGTGTTACCTAGGTAATAGGTATGTAAGTAACGGTGCAAATATATTGGCGGTTATTGAAGTAAAACTTTATCGACGTATGGGAGAAATTTTGTAGCAAATCGTCACGTTTTCGGTTACGCGCCATGTCGCTTTTTTATTTTAAAAATAATTAAGATCGAATGCGCTTTATTTTACTCTTTGGTGAGTCATAGAAAACCCAAGTTTAGTTGTAAGTAAATATAACTTATTGATTTATTCATTTGTTTACCCTACACATTAAGAAATTCTGTCTGTGTTATGTCTATAATACATTCTTGTCTAGACTCTAGAGTAGGTATAAACTATACGTATTATTGACATCCAGAATGTTAATGTGTTTCAAGAACATGGAATTTATTTTATTGGACAAAAAAAATACAGTTATTGTTAACTTTTGTTTCGTTCAGAAATAAACTGTATTTTAAAGAAAGTGTTCTACTTTCACTTTGGGATTTCCGTTAAACGAGATTAAATAAAGCCACTATATTTCGTCAGTTTATTCTTTTTACGTGTATAATGTCTGTTATTAATTAAAAAATAAGAAATATACTAGATATTTGTATCTTTATGCAAAGGAAGAGAACTTTACCTAAAACCTTAGTAGGTACCTACATATTACAATTCACTATTAACTTCAATATTGCTATCATTAAAAAGCTCACTCTGACCAAAACTTTTTTTTTATACATGCGTCTTCACTAAGACATCATGGAATATTACGATCTAGCCTAAACTTAAGACTAATAAGTAATTTAAGTCTAACCTAATTTATTACAAAGGATATTAAACTCTGACCAAAACGAGTGGTAAATTCTAAATACAACTTTGCGATAAAGCGAGCCACATTCCAGGTATCACGAAGGTTATCATTAGTAATATCCCTGAATCAGCCCGTGTCTGTGTTCTATTATAATCACGTTGTAATAAAACGTACTAAAAATGTGTTTCTTTTTTACGTCACATTTACAACAATAGGTAGAAAAAACTTTCTTTTAATTTTATTAAAATATAACAAAAAACAATAATTAACCTTAAAATATAATAACTAAAATATATTATTAAAAGGAGACCCTTTGGGCAAGATTCCGAAGATACTGGCAGCGTTTCCCCTTTGAATAGCTAGACTAATTTTTTTGTCCGAGGTAGCTGCCAGCTCTTCGACTAACCTTTTTGCTATTTCCTCAAAAAGCCTTAGAGCGCTAGGACCCCACGGACCACGACACCGAATGGGACAAAATCATATTCGGAGCCTAGACCCCAGTATTTGTATGATATAGGGGTAATCATAGGTAAGTAGGGACTATGTTTCTGTGAGTATAGAAGCAGAAAATCTACAATGCGTTTGAATTGTATAAAAACCAATACTCTGGTTTAAGTGGTTATCATGAGAAGCTTTATTACTACAAACCTTTATATTATTTAAATAAAATTTAATAAAAAACGCTGTTTAGTTTGTAAAAATTCTAAGTAATTGTAAAACAACTTGCTTTTGTTAGGATATGGAATAAGTAATATTGAAGAATTCCAGTCGTTACTATTAATATACTTTAAAACTTTTTTAAATCAGTGGCGCTTACAACCTTTTTAGGTCTGGGCCTTCATTTTCAGAATCTGTTTCATGATTATTTCTTAATTGAATAGGCAAGACGGTTACCAGCCTCCTGTGCCTGACACACACCGTCATTTTTTTTGGGTCTAAGGCAAGCCGGTTTCTTCAGGTTTCCTTCACCGTTGGAGCGAATGTTGACATAGAAAGTCCATTGATGCACGGCTGGCAGTCGAACCTACCACCTCAGGGATGAGAATGGCACGCTGAAGCCACAAGGCCAACACTGCTCATAAGTCATATTAAAGTAAAATAAAAAATGACAATTATTTATATCTACAGTTACTTTTTATTACAGTAAAATATAAATGACTGGGAAATACCCATCGCGGTTACTTGTTTGGATGAACATCGACATAGCAACTTACAAATTTAAGTCGCATGTAACTTGTTAATGTAAAAAAAAAATTAATTAAGAAAAAATGCATAAGTTTTTCGTTTAAGTCACCAATTGAAATATATAATAATAATAAATTCCATTTATTTCCAATCAGGTTATATTGTTATCCTAATATCCTAGCTTCCTTCAGAACCTATTTATTGGAACCCCTTCACTTTACCTTGAAGAGGCCTCCTCCAGCTTTTTCCAAATATCTCTATCCATGGCTTACTTCCTCCATTCGCTTCCTGCTAACGCTTCTATATCTTCTATCCATCTTTTATTAGGGCACCCTCCGTTCCTCTTTCCCCTTGGTCCCCTCCATATATTTCTTTCGTCTTTAAAGCCTGTTTATCATCTTACTATATGCCCCGCCCACTTTGGTTTAGGGTCAATTGAAATTTATGATCTTGTCTAATTATAATACAGACGTAAAAAAAATACCAGTCTATAAGACATTTTATTCTGTCTGTTTCAATTTATGATAGAGCCATTAATACTTTAAATATTTTCTTACTTTATAGAGTGTATACCTAATTAACGAAATCATTTTTAAACGATTTGTAAATTACATCAATTCGTCATTATGATATTAATGAGTAATATTTTTGATATTCAAGCTCTTGCCATGCCCACTTCACTAATAATAATAACATAATATATTGTATATCAACCTCGGTAGAACCGGCCAATCCACTCAGTCACTTCCTCGATGTCGTAGAGACGACACATACAAAATGAAAATAATTGTGATACTGACTTTTTGTTTCGCGTGCGCATACGCCGCTCCAGAATTCAGTGGGAGAGCCAGGAACTTTAGTTTAGAGTTATTGCAATTCACACAGTTGGAGACAGATGGACACATTGTTATTTCGCCGTTTGGTATTTGGACTTTATTAACTGGTATCGCTTTAGGTGCCAGTGGAAAGAGTAAGACGCAAATATCGCACGCCCTATTTTTGCCGAGAAATCAAAAGGCAATAATAAATGGTTACGCAAACTTGACCGAAACCGTGCTGGATCCTACGTCGCCAGATGTGCAGCTCGCAAGCAAGAACTTCATGTTTCTGGATAGAGATTTTCATATTTACCCAGAATTCCAAAGTGTTATTACAAATGACTTTAATGCTATGATAAGGAATCTCAATTTTAAGGACCCAAGTGCAGCCGCACAGACCGCCAACGCTTTAATCAGCAATTCCGGTGCAAAAGTATCCAACGTGCTGACATCAGATGACTTCACAAATTCAAGATTGATTTTGACAAACGCCATTACCTTTAGGGGTCTGTGGCAGTCACCATTCAATAAAACGGACACATCTGAGGAGAAATTCTACAATGAAGACAATAAAGAAATTGGCCGAGTGAACATGATGTATCAGCGAGGCCAACTTCCATTCTCTAATATAAAGGAGTTGAAATCACTGGTTATGGAACTGCCGTACGGGAAAGAGGGGAAATATGTTATGTTAGTTGTCCTGCCGTACCCGAAAGTTAAAGTGTATGATGTGTATCAACAGTTCCAGACTGTAACTTTTTCTGACATCTTTACCAGATTGCAAGAGGATGTAGATAACTATGGTTTAGAAGACGTCGATATAAAGTTGCCTCGGTTCAAAATAAGTACAAACGTTGTTATGAACGGGCCTCTGATTAAGATGGGTGTTGTGGATATATTTGACCCAAACAAGGCTAGTTTTGAACGCATTTCGCCAGAGAGCATATATGTATCTGCCATTGTGCATAAAGCTGATATAGAGGTCACAGAATCAGGTACCGTTGCTTCTGCTGAGACTAGCGCATATTTTGCCGATAGGATATCAACCCCACGCTTTAATGCTAATAGGCCTTTCCTGTACTTTATTATGGAGAAAGCAACAGAAACTGTGATATTTAGCGGCATTTACTCTAAGCCGTCTGTGTTTTAAAGTTTATTATGATAAAGACTGTTTTGTATGAGTGTGCTTTTATAAAACAAGTTTTTTGTAAATAGGTACTTGTAGCTTGAAACCGTATATTTTGTTTTCCTGTTTCGGATGTTATAGTCAGTGTTGAATGAGTAATTGTCTGCCAAACTTAAGCAGCGATGACCTGTCAAGGTTATATTGATTCGTACACAAATTATCAGATAATAAAGAATACGACCAAATTATTGGCATTTTAATTTTTCCACTAAAGAAACGATTGCGCATTGCAAAAGAAAGAAATTTTTCACAACAATAGAAATAAGTATGATGCGTTTCGCCACAAATATCATGTTTATCCTATCATTATTGCCTTATCAAAACAAAGTAGGTAGGTATGTCATTAAAATAACAATGAGTATAACAGTTTAATACTGCTTCAGACGCTAGAGGTCCTTCATTGAAGTATAATTTTAAGGTAGTATTATAATAAAATGACTTTTCGGACATATTTTATCTTTATTTTTAATTTTAACCTTAAAAATAACTCTGACTGATATTATTTAAAACTGAGACAACCTCCTATTTTTCGCTTATGTAATAAAATAATATTAGGTACTTATACATTTTTATGAAGTTCCACATTATATTGGTAATGAAAGCATCTTAAACATAGGTATATTATTATATAAAGAAATCTGTTGGTAATTGTTTGAAACCCAGTTGCGTAATGTTGTGGTTAAACACTTATAACATCAAGGTTATAACTGATGGTGCTAATATTATTACATAAAAAATGTATTGAAATCTTAAATAGGTACATAGGTACATACATGATTCTCACAATAACTACAAATTAGTCATGACCAAAAATTAGTTGCAAAATCGCAAGAGATTTAAATGTGTATTAAGTTGGCGTAGGATAAGGATTGAAACTAAGACAAGGAGATCTCTTTGTGCGCGACTGGTGATAGATGTGTAACAAAGTAACAATATTTTACGGCAGGCGTATCCCTTTAACAGCGCACCTAGCAAAACCAACATCCATATTCCATACGCTCACTGAAATAAACGTGGAATTTGAGTTCACAGTAAGATGAGAACATTATAAAGTTTTATACTCTTGCATTTAACATTGACGAATACAGCATGTTCGATTGCTTAAGTAATACTCGACAAAGTTTTAAGTTGTTATCTATAATTTACTTTTTAGTTCTATCAAGAGTGCAAAATAATGACAGCTGACATTTGACAATATCACTTTTACACTGATAACTGGGACAGCTTTAAAAATGAGGGAAATTGGAATTTGGAAAATGGAAATATTATGTAAAATACTATACAAGTTTTAGATTATTCTGAATAGAATTAATTTCATATAAATATATTCATAAATTATTCTTTCTAAATAATATTAATGTAACCAATTACAAAAACGATAAATCCAACTCTTAAAAAAATTAAAAATAACTTTACTTATTATTTCCTAGAAAATAGAAATGTTTCCAAAAAGTTTGTTATTACCTAGAATAAGGCTATGCAGAAGCTTAAACATTGTAGGATATAGATGTAACAATTTAAATATAACAGGCGGAATAAATAACTATCACAGTAAGTATTATAATCCTAACCTCTACTTCTGAAATATCTGTCTGTCTCTTCATTTTAGTTAATATCTAGAATTAAGAGTGTACGTTTCAGATATTTTAAAAACTTATGCAGTCTGCTATATTTTTAATGCAGTGTATTTTCAAATTATGTATGTATTATGATGCAATATTGGTATGATAATGAAATATTAAACTTATAGTCATTAAAGTAACAACTATATACTTAATTAACACTGATATAGAGGAACTATAATAAAATTAAACAATTACCTCAACATAATATGGAACAATGTTATATAGTTGTAGTTATAAACTTTTATATGGTTTATTATTATTTTATGCCTGTTTGTATCACTGGTTATACCATTGTTTATATTCAGAATGGGGTAATTTGTTAAGATACAACAAACAAGACAAATTATTTTTATAAATTATAGTCAAAAACACTTTTCAGGTCTTAGGTGTCATAACATAAAGTCAAAATTTACCTTGAATCAAAGATTACCAACATTTTCCTATTTACTGCATTTGAAATGTTATTCCCATGTTGATGATAAAATTCAGGAAGAAAATACCCAAAGGGAAAAAGGTAATTTTATTTGATTTCCTCGAGGCTGCTGAGAATGCTGACATTAAATTTGTCCGAAATATGAGCAGATGTCTTATGTATTTGGTTTTTGATAGTATAAATTTATATAATAAACCTGAAAATGTACCAAATATTTACAGTTATATTACGACTAATTGATATCTCTCATATAAGAAGAATGGTATTTTACATAATGAAATCACCATAAACATATTGGGAATAATTTTTATTTATTAGTACAATGGTATATGTAATTTGTAATAAAACAAGACAAATGTAAATTATTGAACAGATTAAAAATATCCATCTATGGGGATGGTAAAATGGTTCTTTATACAGGATGATCAAAAAGTCGTGGATCAAACGCAAATAGGGGATAGATGCGCTCAACCTTATTTTGAGTTATAGCTTAGAGACCTCCCATAGAACTTTTTTTGCAGCTGATGACTTCATCTATCCCCTATTTGCGTTTGATCCACGACTTTTTGGCCACCGTGCATAACTCAAATATTATTAGCTTTTTTAAATTATATAAATAAGATTGAGAGATGAGAGTCTTTTTCTTCATACAAAAATTTATTCTCTATTAAATTTTATAAATTCTTTTAGAATTAAATAATATACGTCAGCTATATACACACCCTAGAGTAACATTAAATGAATTGACTGCGAAGACACCAGATAAAATATTTGATATACATTATAAGCAAGCTAATGTTGCTCCGAAAGGGTCGAAAAAGAAGCCATCACAGAATGACTGGACCTGTGCTTATTCTTTTGTGTGGCCGGAAAAGATGAAGTTTGAAGGGTAACAATTTAATCGTAAATATAGCGTAGAAATACACATTTCTGTGTTCACACAAATTGATTTTGGCAAGTTTGTGCCTTGTGAAACAATATTTATGAACAAATTAATTTTTATAATTGATATTATGAAAAATTGCTGTTTTATACATAACATTTCAAAAGCTATTATGACATGTCAAAATCAGTATTCCCACCTATGTTCAACATAATATTCAACAGTAACTGAACTTTAAAGGTTTTCTTAATACCAATTTGCACTTTCAGAACATCAATATCAAAACGACAAGCCGCAGAAAAGGCAGCCATTCAAGCTCTACATTGGCTGTATATAAATAAACGGATAGACAAAAAAGGCAACCCTGTATATGATACAAATGTGATGAAAACTTTGAAGAGCACTATTTATAGTCCTATACAAGGGGCGATTAGTGAGAGGTCTATTGAGAAAATTGAAAAAATATGGAATGAATATGAGAGTGAAATAAGTAAGTTTTTATAGTCTTATTGGCTTATATATTTATAGAGACTACTGTACAATTTTACGACTATATTGCATAAGATAATAATAATATCAATATAATAATATAATAATAATTATATCAAAAATAAAATAAATTTAACTAGTGCATCCGACTGATCACAAAAAACAACAACAGGATAGACGGAACAAATTTCATTAAAATCTGTTCAGCCGTTTAGGAGTTTAATTACGCACACATGCACACAAGATAATATATATAAATAACCTAGTTACCCACTGCAGCGCCATCTGCTGGGCTGATTTTTGAATCTCAACATAGTTCAAAGTATTCAAACTAGGGTGAACCCAAGGGTTAGCTTTGGATGTATATTTCACCATGCCTACTGCTGAGAGAGGACAAATCATTGCTTTTAATTTTTTATTAATATTAATTAACAATTAATTACTTAAGATGTCATGTGGAACTTGATGTAATGGTTGGAGCTCCTTACAAACATTGTGTAAAACAAAAAACTTGGCGATTAAAAAGAGTGGCAGAGAGTTTATTGCCAGTTCTTCTCTTCCGTTCTACGCCCTTGATTTGAGATATGGCAGTAAATGTAAAATTAGAAGGATTTAATAATTCATATATTTACCTATATCAATAAATGATTTTTTACTTTTGTACTAAAACTAAAGTTAGTAAAAAACTATTTTCGCTGTGTTGTGTGATGGTGTGAAAATAAGGGTATGTATGTGAGGGTGTGTATGTGAGGGTGTGTATGTGAGGGTGTGTATGTGAGGGTGTGTATGTGAGGGTGTGTATGTGGGGTGTGCTAGTGTGTATATTTTACTTTTTGTTTGTAATTTCTCATGTTAATGACATGTATGTTTTTAATGAGAGTAAACTTCTTTAAAGCTAAAGCTTTTAGTGAACATTTGTATGTGTTATAGAAACAATATATGATGCAACATTCAAAGAGGCAAAACAGAGGCATTACAATTTTCCTGTTAGAGTGCAGAAGGACTCCACGATTGATGATGACGGTAAGCCATAAAGAGAATATTTGTTTGTTTGTAACGAGTACACCCAAAAACGAATGGACCGATTTCAAAAGTTCACTTTGTTAGTGCAACATCTTCTAAACACTGATGTTTAAACGGAAAGTATTCTTATTAGTATAGTTTAAATATTAATGTTAAAGGCAATTTCTGCCGCGCACCACCACTATGTGGAACCAGCTGCCCACTGAAGTATTTCCGCACCAATTCGACTTAGGCCGTTTCTCCACTGCTCCGGTCCGGCAAACGTTAATTACCGATCCGATTTAGAAACTTACAACAGTACTTACGTGCTTCTCCACTACTCCGGCATCCGGTTTTTAACGATCCGATAACTTGCTAGATCGGAACGCGGTGTTTTATCGGTCCAAGTATATCCAAGTATCCAAGAGGTTATAAATTATTATTCACAGGTTTATTTATAGTTTCTTTAATTTGAAAGAATCTGAAATAACCAAACCAAATTATGTTGCTATTTATTTTTATACCATAGTATTAGTGAACTATTTATTAAGTAGATTATAATATTTCAAGATAGACAATCTAAAAAAAGTAATAAACTTGCCAGGGCAATAAAATATTCAGAATTTAGAACGTTTTATTAATAAAATTAAGTATATGGGTTTTAGTTAATATAAGTGTTGCATGATAAATTTACAAGTATCGATTATTGTCGGATAGGATATAGTGGAGAAGCGCAATCCGGCCTTCCGATATTTTTCTCATGACTCATTCCGGTATCCGACGCCGGACCGGAGCAGTGGAGAAAGGGCCTTAGGGTTCTTCAAGTAAAGAGCGTACCAATTCTTAATACTCTGGAAAGTGTCCACGGGTGGGGGTATATCTTCACATCAGATGCCCTGCCCGTTTGCCCCCTGTTCTATATTGAAAAAAAAATGGAAGAGAATAGCTGCCCACGACACAGAAAATCCTAGTGTGTGTACACTTCTTTTTAACTAAATATCTTTTTTTATTATGTACTAGCGACGTGCCCCAGCTTCGCACGGGTGGAAAAACTGTAGAACTTTGTATATAAAAACATAGCGGCCCTCTCCGGTTTCGCACGGTTATAAAATATATAGTCTATGTCACTCACTAAAAAAATGATGAAAATCAATCCAGTAGTTTTGATTTATTCATTACTGCCCGTGGCCCGCACCCGTTAAATTTATTATATATTATATATTTAGATATTTTGATAAATCTCGTAGGGTTCAGCCTGCGTTTGCAATGTACGCGGAAAAAAAAATTATGACATCACATTAGAAACCTCAAAAATAACAGTATTTCTCCACTATCTAATGGATGTTATTATAAAATAAAAAATAAAATATGTTTATTATGGAACATAAGATACATGTATCACTTATTCCACGTCTTTAAATTTCAATTTCAATTATATTATATTTTCAATTATACATATAAACCTTCCTCTTCAATCACTCTATCTATAAAAAAAACAATAAATTGCGTAGTTTTAAAGATTTATGCATACATAGGGATATAATGACAGAGAAAGCGACTTTCTTTTATACTATGTAGTGATAACAAAGTTTTTTCTTTTCTTTTAAATTAAAAAAAAAAAACCAATTTGTATGATAGTTAACTTGACGCTACGGATTATTAAAGCGAATATTTATAAATATTGTTTTTTTCAGACGGCATTGCACTAAGCGAAGAAGAGGACAAAACAGGTATGATTTACTTTTTATTTCTTTTCAAATTGTATTTAAATAATTGCTATCTTTATATATATAATTCTTCTGTACGCGTGTATGTCACTGAACTCCTCTTAAACGGCTGGACCGATTTGAATGATTTTTTTGTATGCGTTTGGGTGTCGCCCTGGATGGTTTAGATTCACAAATCAGCCCAGCAGATGGCGCTGCAGTCGGTAAGTTATCTATCTGTACAGCAAATAAACAGCTGGTATATATATAAATCTTCTGTGCATGTTCGTAATTAAACTCCTAAACGACTGGACAGATTTTGATGAGTTTTTTGTGTTCAAGAGGAGTCGAGACTGATTTGTAAATCATTGTGAACAGGACAACGTCTGTTGGATCCGCTAGTTCGTTTTATTACTGCTGGATTAGTCATAGGTTCGATTCCCGTCGTAATTAAACTTGCATACGCAATTATCATCACGTACTACGGGTGTGGAACAGCTCTGGAATCAAAGGCCTGAAGTTGTAGTGGTTCGTGGTTGTGGTTTCCCTGAGTGATTTGGACTTACCAAAGATAATTCGTATCAATGAAATGACCCCGTTTAGGGGTAACGGAAAATCATATATTCAAAACATGCTTATATTGATAATACAAGGAAAAGTTATTGTTATAATTAACAGATTTGTTTGCGGTCTGATTATCTTCAATCTTCATATTTTAATTTATTATGTAAATTATTTATTGACTTTTCTTTGAGTAATAAAGAAATATTAAGAAAATTATAGCTTAAACGATTTTATATAAATAATACTAGCAGACTCGGCCAAGTGTTGCTGTGGCTAAGGTTTTTGTTATATTACATGGTAGTAAACTGTTCGAGGCAAACGGTAGGAGAACACCAGTCATGGAGACCACCATGCTTTTTTGGTGATTAAGCCATTTAATTGTAGCTTCTGAGAAACGTTGGTACTTTCAACACAGCGCCATTTGTTAAAATTGTGACAGTTAATTAATAAACAAATAATTTGCAATAAAATAATATTGCGTGTGTAAATTGAGATGTAAGCTATCCTATCTTTTAAGTTAGATCAAACTGCACACGGTGTGCAAATTTGATTGATATCGGTTCGGTAGTTTAGGCGTCCATAGCGGACAAACGTGACACGTAATTTATATATATTAAGATGTGTAACTAAGTTTTAAAATCAATAGGCTAGCTACGCAATTGCGAGCCCTCTGGCAATGTGTCCATAGGCGGTGTTACTTAGGTGTGTCTACTGTCTAAAATGCACAATATATTAGTAATAGTTTTTCCAAAGATAATTCAGAAATAATATCGCTATTAAATATTATTTTTTAATGCCAAACCATAAAATGTAAATTGTGGACAACCTTATCACTTGTGCTAGTCGCGGGAAAAGCCCATTTCCGGCAGATCTACGCTCGCCAGAACAGCCCGAGCTGAGCTGTCAAGGTCAGCGGGATTCCATTAAAAAAGATGTACTGAATAGACACAAACATTTGTTTACGACTGTGACACGAGAATCTAATACAGTGTAATACGTTATAGAGAGTGTGCGTTATAGGGAGAGAAGAGAAAAAAGTTACTTAGACCAAATTTCCTACAGGCAATGTAATCTAAGAATAATGGCACACATGTTGATGTAATAATTAAATATCGGCATCTCAATAGGTTAGTTTTGTAAGCTGATTATGAAAACAATTATACTTTAATATGTTGTCGATGTCTAAATATGAAAATATATCTTCGTAATAGAGAGTGGCTTGCGTTGTGGAGTGGAGTGGAGTGGAGTGGAGTGGAGTGGAGTTGCTTTATAAAGAGTAAATTAATGTATGGGTTGTGTGTTAAACCAAACAAATTCAATTAATTTTTACGTTATAACGAATGACATTATAAAGATTTTGTATGTCAATCCTTTTTCATTACATACATTATTCAAAAAATTTAAGTTACGCCATTATCTAAATATTGTGGATATATCTTTTCCTTTCTATAAATACGTTCTTTAATTTAAGGGAAGAGTTTCCATATCAACAGGATAAACATTAAGTGTTTCACAGTTATCCAAACATTTTGTATTGATTTTTTTTTGTGTACGTTTAATAGACAAACAAATATTTCATATCATTAAACATGAAAGCCGTTCTCGAGTTTTAAGTTTTCAAACTAACCAGACTTTGTTTTATATATTAAGATTGTTCAAAACATCTATATTTTTCTAACCAGATTTCCGAACCCAAATACACCCAGTGTTTGGCAAATTGATAGAAGCGCCATCTAGTGCAACCCTGGCGAGGCGAGAACGAAACTTGGAAAGGATTTTTAAACATTATGAAGACTCCTTGACTCCGCTGCCTATTGATCAATATGCGTAAGTAACATGAATTTAGCTTTGCCTGGATTTTGTTGTCAATTTGTTTTCAAGATCACCGATGCCCAGATTGAGCATTCTGATAAACGAACTAAGTCTGGATATCCATAGTTGCTCCACTCGCACTTTAAATAGATTTTCGTTTAGTTTTTGTAATTTTAATTGTTTTGTTTGATATTTGTATTATCTTTTCGTGTATGTCATGTTTTCTTGTCATATTAAAATTTGTAGATTGTGGTTCTATTACCAATGAATCATTGTGTCAAAATTAGCTAGAACCCGAAACATTGGCGAATTACGCAGATATTTATTTATTACTATACTAATAAGATAATGTCAATGGTAAATACATTAGATACACAATATTGCTACCGGGAACTCACTCCTAAAATATTAAAATTCAATAGTGTCGGAGACAACATAATCTGCTCTGTGCAACAGACTGGTTCTAGCCCTTGGTATCGCAAACAACCTTGGCTTTCGCCGTTGCACATATCCCATAGGTACTTCTCTAGGTTAAGTAGGACAACTGTAAATAAATGCGATGGTGTGAGGAGCTTGGTGTAATGGTTGCAGGTGTTACAAACATGTAAAAAAACATGTATGTGTACACGCGTTAGAAGTTTTCTTTGGCGTACAAGAAAAAAATCTTTTTAAAAATTTTATCTTTCGCCATATTCTACGTTTGTAGAAAAAACGAGACTAACAATAGAAAAAAGGTATTTAATACATTGAAAGTCTTATTATAACGCATTATCTATTAAAAGGAAGTAGATTTAAATATCACAATAAAACTATATAATTAAAGAAATTGACATTTTTTATTTTAAAATGTTGACTGTGCTAACTTCAGGGTGTCGGTTTTTTGTGACGGTGTGCGCACGCATCGTTAAAATTTACTCATCATTTTTCCCTAACGCGCCAAAAGAAATATAACTTCAAAAATTGGCGATTTAAAAGTGTAGCCTGATGCTTCTGCTAGTTCTTATCAAGCCATTGTATAGGGAATGTATTTTTTTTAAATATGACGTTCACGTACATACCAATATGATTAAAGAAATTTAATTAGAATCGTGCGATTACCTTCGATTATGGTTTAATATGAAGTTATAAAACACTTAAAATGTTTAAGCCTCGGTCACGAAGTGGTCTTACCATCTTTAGAGGAGAGGGCTTGGAAATTCCAGTAGTTCTGATGAAGTGGCATAGTGAATCATTAACAGCCTTTATACGGCTTTGATTGATAAGTCTCTCACAGGTAGGCAATAATTTTGCTATAAATAGCGTTTGTGAAGAGGCTATATGCTTCGGCAAGGAAATTCAATTCTGAATTAGAAAGAATAACATTATTATACATAACAAGAAATTACATTTAGTTGTAAGGAGAGTGCACTAGCTCACACTAGGATTTCCTGTGTTGTGGGCAGAAGAAAATACTAAAATACTCTTAGAAGCAGTAGAAAATTGTGTGAGTTGTCGTTACCGCGTCGTGTGGCCGCGCTCTTAGACACCTTAATATCAATCTACGTTTTTTAACATTTATAAGCTCTGTGACATATGATAATGGCAGTTGACAGGGGCGCCATTGCTCCGACATATATATCGTTCATAATGTAGACGGCTCAGAGATTGATGTGATATGTAAGTCACGATCATAAATAATGATGAATTGAGTTTTGATTTTAAAGGTTAACGTAAGCTTTTTAAAAATTAAAAATAATGTGTTAATAGTAATCTGTTTAAAATTTGGCTACAAAAAGCGTTATCGTATCATATTATATAGAAGTCGAAGTAAGAAGTAGACATGGGGAGAAATTGGCTGTGCCAAAAATCAATCTGGAACTGTTATTGATAAATATATTGAAATATATTTATCTTTACACGTCAGTCACGTGCCACAGAACGGTCACAGATTAGTCGAATCGAGGGTGACGTCCTTGTCTGGATGACAATTAAGGCATTAAAAACTTGACATGTCATTGGGAATGGCGCCACGCCATCTTGTATGGAGCGTTTTGGCGGGTTATTTAAGAACTGAATTTAAAAAAGAATTTTTAAAGCCGTAACAGATTATAATAAAATAAAACTTTATTTATGACAAAAGGAGTGAGACGAAATTCATTCATCGCTAGTCCCTACACACATACAGTACATGTTTAAAACAGTTTTTCTAAAAAAGTAATTTTTGTGTTACAACTAAGTCTTATAAGACATTAAGTATGCGTGAATGTGTGAGTGTGTAAATGGGTGTGTATGCGCATGTATTTGATGTGTTATAAAATACTTTATGTAGGTTCCTTAAGTCCTACAATAATGTGAAATGGTTTTTAAAATGTTGTCAAATAGCCTTTTGTGTAACACAATCTAATCTTTGCTACCGGGTGTTGTTGAGGTTGACCTTACCCCGACCGATTTGACCTAAACAAGGTCGACTCGACACCGCGACCTAGTCTAGTGACCTTAACCCACGCGCGTCCCCAAAATCGTCCCCGTTCTGACCTTACTGATAAAAGTGGGTTATATCAGTCGATTATCTTTGTTAAAATGAGAGCGTTTATACGGGTTTCATTATATTTAGTTAATTGTTAAATAGTTTTAATAGATTTAAACTTCAGTTAAAATTAACAAACAAATGAATTTTGTTAATTTATTAATGCAACAGAAAACAACAGTTAACAATAAATAACACGCCAAAATTACAGTTAACTAACCACATTAACAACATTAAAAATAGCAGCATAAATAAATTGTCGTTGTAATTAAACTCATCCAAAACGGCTGGATTTTGATACATATATGTAGATCTGCAATTAGACTTTTTTCTGTATTTGTGTACGGGTCCAGTACACTATCTATAGGCATAAAGATAGCTAAAAAATAAAAAAAAAAACAAAACACAATTAATATGTAACATTTAAGTAACATATATATTTTAGTAAATAAGTAGAAGCGCAAACCAAATTTTGAAACCACAAGTGAAGCCAAAAAAGCCCAGTTTTCCCACAGTCATAAATTGTAATAGAACATTCTTGTTTCCGCCTATCTCCAAAAAAATCGGTTGCACTTGTATTGAAGTGGCACTTTTTTGAACCCTTTGATAAGCCAAGTTAGTTTTTGTTAGTGTCGCAACCCCACTACCAATTATTTTGTGTTAAGCTCATACTTTAAACGATTGAAGTCCCCATTCCGGCCGAGCTACGCTCGCCAAAACAGCCCGCTGAGCTGTAAAGGCCCTTAAGGACCTTTCTTTGTCATCGTTTCTTCAAGTAGGGCGAATGGAAAAAAAAATGGTAGAGTTGAGTAGTTTATGTATCCATTTTGAAAGATCGATACACAATTTAAATAACTTCGCTCGATAGAAAAAAAAAGACAAACATTGCCAATTCTTGACACTTTAAATTCATTTTATGACGAAAATATATAAAGAACATGATTTTGAAATTAACACGATATATTTTGATAAATTGAAAAAATTTCATTAATTTAATGTTTACATAACTAATTGTTATTACGGGCCGGCGCGCCTCAGTGCTCTAGCTCTCCACTGCACACCGCAATTCGTGCTGGGATAGGGCCTTAAGGCCAACAGCGAGATTCCATTTAAAAAAAAATTAAAGTCAGTTGCTACCCAACTTCAATCAAAGTGTTTCATTTAACATATATCTGAAGAAATCTACAGCATCCTCCACAGAATTTAACTCCCATAACATCAGTTTTAATATGAATAGAAAAGAAATTTGAAATTACAAAGAAGATTAAAATAATAGCTTAGTTTCGTAATGTAAAATATATTTTTAGGTATTTAGAATTCTTGGTATTATGGATTCTATTGAAGCTTATAATTACATTCATTTATTATTATCCTATGACGCTAATGGACTGTATTAAAATAGTTTAAAATTCACTGAAATCGTATGACTCGTAAAATTCTAAGCAAAGTTGTTTTACTTGAATAGTTACATCTTTCTGTCGTATATATTTGCGCTGTGAGGAAAAGAGACAAATACTGTTAAAACTGTATAGACAGCTTTTTATGAATAAGGGTAGATTTAATGTATAATTATTTCAAACTCAAACTCAAACTCAAAATATCTTTATTCAAGTAGGTAACCAAGTACACTTTTGAATCGTCAAGTTAAATTAATCGTAAATTTACATTTACTACCAGTTCGCAAGTCAAGGGCGTAGAGCGGGTAAGAAGAACTGGCAAGAAACTTTCCGCCACTCTTTTTAATCGCCAAGTATTGTCATACAAATTGTTTGAACTGGAGCAATTCAATCCCAAGGATTAGGATCATTTAAGTAGTCCTCAAATTTATAAAAAGCTTTGTTGATTAATTTTCGTTTAACGAGGGCTTTGAATTTATTTAGTGATAATTCTCTAATTTCGCTTGGGAGCTTGTTGTAAAAACGAATACAATTTCCATATAAGGAGTGGTTTATCTTTTGGAGCCTGGTTGGTCGCACACTCAAATTAGTTCTATTTCGCGTATTATACTGGTGAAAGTCACCATTTGTTTTAAAATCGTTTATATTTTTTTGGACATACAACAAGGCTTCAAGAATATATTGACTAGATAGTGTCATAATATTTAATTCCTTAAACTTATTCCGTACCGACTCCCTCGGAGAAACACAACAAATACCCCGAACAGCCCGCTTCTGCAGCACAAATATGGATTGAACCTCTGCAGCAGCACCCCACAGTAAAATGCCGTACGACATAACGCTATGAAAGTAGCTATGGTACACAATTTTAGCCGTGTCCTCATCAGTAAACTGTCGGATTTTCTTTACTGCATATGCTGCAGAGCTCAGCCTATTCGAAAGAGTCTCTATGTGTGGGCCCCATTGGAGTTTACTATCTATTTTTATGCCTAGAAAAACAGTTTTGTCAACAAAGTTTAGTTCACTGTCCTTAATTTTCAGGTTACCAATATCTCGCTTTACGCTAGTAGTTGTAAATCTAATACATTTTGTTTTATTCTCATTAAGCAATAAGTT